AGTCTCTGGACCTGCCAGTTCTCAAGGAAAGGAGATTTCGCAGGGCATGAGTCACTGGGGTCGTCTCAGAAAGGGCAGGAAGCCTTTTTCCATTTCCTAAGAGCTATCAAAATCTTACTTTTTGCATCAAGAAGACAAGTATTAATTTACTAAACTATCTGGCTAATGTGCCACAGCTAATAAATCAACTCCATATATAAATATATATATATAATTTTTTTTTAACTTTGTATCCTTTTACTTAAAGTTTAAATTCTACCCCTTGGCTCAGAGAAGGAGAGCATCCTGAGTGACAGCCCCACAAAGGCTACCCACAATAGGGAGGGACGTTCCTGCCCCAAAAGGAGGTGATGACAGAGTAGAATGAGAAAGAGATGCTGGAAAGTCATAAATGTCCCCAAAGTCATCAGAACCCAAAGATCTTATAACTCTCCAGTGTGCAAAGGCACAGAAATATTACCCTTCAACAATGTAATTTTGATTTAAAATTCGATAAATCCTTTACATGTATGAGCTCAGATTTTGAAAATATTTCTAAATAGAGGATTAATATATATCCCCTGAGATTTGTTTCTTGATGATTTAAATTTTATTGTTATATTTTGAATATTTCATCATTTTCCTCATATCGGTTCTTCTCAAACAACCACTATCCAGTCATCTTGCTCTTACTTGTAATATTAGTTTGTTTTTTTTTATTTTTTGTTTGATACAGTCTCACTCTATCACCCAGACTAGAGTGCAGTGGCATCACCATAGCTCGCTGCAATATCCAACTCCTGGGCTCGAGCGACCCTCCTGCCTCAGCCTCCCAAGTAGCTGGGACTATAGGTGCACACCACAACACCCAGCTCATTTTTTCTGTTTTCGGTAGAAATGAGGTCTTGCTTTTTGCTCAGGCTAGCCTCAAACTCCTGGGTTGAAATGATCCTCCTGCCTTGGCCTCCCAGAGTGCTAGGATGGCAAGCGTGAGCCACCCTGCCTGGCCTGATAATTACTTTTGTCCTAGGTTTGAGATGGTATCTTCCGCCCAAATTTTTTCACCTTTACCTCTTCCATCTTTCCAAGAGCTTCCAAAATCATTCTTTCTCTGTTAAGATGTTCACAGACGTTCACATTCCCCTGAATCCAGCTTCTGACAGTGTACCTCACAAGAGTCACTTTTATCACTGCTTTATACAGAGTACAATTTCAGGTGTTTTTATGCCAGGCTGCGGCCGACCTTCCCTTTAATCTGTGACGGACACAGCTGAGGCCCCACTCCATGCCTCCTGGAACTCCTGGCTGGTGTGTAGTGTCACCATTGCTCTCCCTGCGAGTTTCTGCTTCCACCGATGCCCCACCCCTCTGCTGACTGGCTCACCCCCTGTCAGGGCTCTCTTTCCATTCCACTTCCGGTGACAGACACTGCTCTGTTTCCCAAGAGCACCACGAGCATCAATGGATAGCTGACTCTTTCCTGCTTCAGGGTAGGGTGCCGCAGAGAGATTATGGCACAAAATGGGACTTTCATTTTTTTTTTATTTTTTTATTTTGGCATATTATGGGGGTACAGATTTTAAGGTTTCAATAAATGCCCTTTCCCCCTCTCCCCCCACAAGTCTGAGTTTCCAGCATGACCATCCCCTAGATGGTGCACATCTCACTCATTATGTATGTATATACCCGCCCCCCTCCCCCCTGCCCAATACCCTATTACTGTAGTACCTATGTGTCCACTTAGGTGCTACTCAGTTAATACCAGTTTGCTGGTGAGTATATGTGGTGCTTGTTTTTCCATTCTTGGGAAACTTCACTTAGTAGTATGGGTTCCAGCTCTAACCAGGAAAATATAAGATGTGCTATATCACCATTGTTTCTTAGAGCTGAATAGTACTCCATGATATACATATAGCACATTTTATTAATCCATTCTTGGATTGATGGGCACTTGGGCTGTTTCCACAGCCTTGCAATTATGAATTGTGCTGCTATAAACATTCGAGTGTAGGTGTCTTTTTTGTAGAGTGTCATTGGATCTTTTGGGTAGATGCCCAGCAATGGGAGGGACTTTCATTTTTAATTGAAATTTTGACTTCCCTGCCCTGCCCCTGACTCCACAGCCCAGGTTTCTTCCTGGGCATTCCTCCCTCCTCAACCACATTTCCAGCCAGCACTCAGGCTCTCTGGCCCCTCTGGGGAATGTAGTCAGTCAGATGCGATGTTTAGTAACTGTACCCAGAGATGACATCGTTGAAAAACGTAGCTGAGCTGCATAATTAGTCACAGACACAAGGTGTACACTTCTTTGAGTATATATATCCTTCTTTAAAGCACTAGAAATTTCATTGTATATTTAAAGCTAGTTTTGAAAATGCCATTCTCAATTTGTACTGAAGAGAGGTTAAGCTGTGTATGTGTGTGTACATATATGATGTGTGGATGTTTATGTGTGTATATGTTAAAATGTGTATGTATACACTTCTCCACCTCTTTATCTTTTTCTTTCTTTCTTTGGTATTACTGTGACTTTTTATTTTTGATGAATATCTAGAAAGACTTTCTCAAGAAAATGAAGGAAGAATTTTTGTAAATTTTAGATTTATTTTACCTAGGTATTCTATAAATCATGGTTTCTGTTTTTGTGTATGCATTACTCGGTTTTTTTAACTTCTTTCCAGAAAAAAAAAAAAGTTTGTTCTCCCCATCCCTCCTCTTGTGTCTCCAGCTAATCCCTTTATTTCTTTTTTTTTTATTTTCACACACTGAGGTGTTTTTTGCAGACTTTATTGCAACCTGACAATGTTCTCAATGTTTCCTTTGATGTTGTATCCCGAGCTATTTAAAAAAAAAAAAAAAGTATGAAATGGAAAATCTTTCCATTCTTTGCTGGGTCAACATTTGAAATAAAAAAGCGGAGCAAACACCTTCAAAGCAAATAGTCTCTTTTTTTCTGTTGTGTACTCCAGCAGCAGGATTTCCTGCTTGCTGTTTTTCCTGACTTTCATTCCTGAGGAGGTAGCTGCTGCTCCAGGGAGTGGTTATTCCTGAGAGAATTGCTGATGGGTGTGCGTCCCTCCGTGCTGTGAGCAGACTCCCTTCTCCTCCCCAGAATCTCTAGGGGAGGAATCACTTTAGGCCATGTATTCAGTGACAGCTGAGACAGCAAACATGGGACCAAGCGGGCTTCTCCACGCGCTGAGTCTGAATGCTGGGCGTAGACCTCGCCTTGGCGTATTTGCACACACCCGTGTCAGCGCGCACGTTTTATTTAACACAGAAGGATTCACGCAAGTTAGGACACAAAACTTCAAGATGTCTGAGCAGTGGGAGAGGAAGTTTATGTGAGTTTGAGGCCTTTCCCTTGGCACCTTCACTCCATTTAGAATTAGGTGACCCAACGTGACAAATAAGGTGTCACGTTATGTGCTCCAAAAAAGCTGCTTTTCTTTAAGTTTTTCTCATTCTTAATCAACTCCTCTTTTTGACCTCTGAACACCGTTATGCTAGGGAGTTTACCCAGTACGCTGAATTAGTGAATATGCATGTGCTAAAATCCTCAAGCTAGCATGTTATGCTTAAATGCTTTGAAGTTACACAGAGACGGCCCACATTCAGCAAGTGAAATGCCCTAATCCAGTAACAGGGAGGCAGCAGAAAGGAACAGCACTGGGACCTCACGACACAACAAGGAACACAGTAAGAGAACTCCTTCCCCACCCAGGAGCAATTTAAATCTCACCACCTACTGGGCTCCAGTCCTATTCATGTGTTTAATTTATGCTAAAAAAGTACTGAAGTAGAGTTGCTATTACCACCCTAGGTATGACCTTAAACTCTTAGCAGTGCATCTGAATTGAATTTGTCTGCTAAACCCTCAGGCCTGCAGACTAATATCATTATACTCCTCTAAGTCACTTCCCTTTAAGGAAAGAGGAAAAGTCCTCACAATTACAAATTAGATTTAGCAGAGAACCGTGAAGGAAAAGCCTCTCTTCTCTCTCTTCTGCATTTGGGTGCTGGTTAATGGGATAACTTCGGAATTAGTGAGATTAGGTTCACAGCCCTTGCTCTGCTTCTTGTGTAGCCCGTTTAAAAGTTAATCTCCATAAATTCCATAACCTATAAAATGGGTATAATTGTTGTGTGGGACTAAGGGAAGACCTAGCCCCATGAGAAAAGGAAAGGCTATTTGTTCTGAGCTTGCTGTAGCAAGGGAGTCAGCCACCATCACTTGCGTTTGAGCAGAGACTCAAAGGCAGGCGTGGGAGTCAGAAAGATTGACAATGGAAAAAGGGAACGCTTCACGTGTGCCTTGATGGGAGGCCACTGGCCTGGAGAAGCTTCGAGAAGCCTGGCTAGAGGCAGGCGCCTTGTGATTGGTTGGGTGGGGAGGATTTCTGGCTTTCTGTGGTTGGTGCTAAGTTGGAAGTGGGAACAAAAATTAGGGAAGCTGTCAGTTATGAGTTAAGTCCTGGCTGTTTGAGGCCAATTGTTAGAGAAATTATCATTTATCTTCCTGGATTTTCACTATAGTTAGCAAGCTGGCTTCCTGCAAACCTGACTTATTATAGTGGTTCTCGGGTTGTTTATTACAGATAAGGGGCTGGTTTCCTGGACGGGTTGCTATAGGTTGTAGGTCAAAGTTCTATTTTATTATTTTTATTTTTATTTCCCATTTGTATATTCAGTCTCAATGGGAAGCATTCATCACAGTGTGATCATGTAGTAGGTGCTCAGTAAATAGTACAATCTCACCAAGTGTTCGGAACCACTGCTGCCTGGTGTGTTTTTCTGGATGTCATTGCTGGAGTTTGGATCAGATGTGGGTAGATGGTGGGGAAGCTCAGATTACGCTGCTATAACTTGGTCCTTTTCTGCGGCATTAGGAAAGAGTTGGAATGGCGTAGCATGTATAGGCAAAATACCTGAATTCCTCAAAGAAATCTGAAATTACCCATCCCAGTCATTTCACTTCTATGAACTGTCTTAAGCCCAGAAGAAAACTCCAGGAGTCCTCATAGGTATCTAAAGTCGGTCTGAGTTTAGGATGTGTTCTGAGGATGTCGATGAGTTTAAAGCCATTTGCAGTAGTTAAAAGCTCAATAATAAGAGCTCTTACAAGATGAGAGACGAAGTACCTTATGCTGAGCAGGTAGGTGTCTTGTTCTTCAGTGTATCCCCAGCATGTAGCACAAAGCCTGGAACATAGTATATACACTTAATCAGCAGTTGAATGAATGAATGAATGAATGAGTGAATGAGTATATTTCCTGGCCTAGATTAAATAACTATTATGATGATAGTAGGTGTTACCTTGCCTGTTATCTGTTATGTCATTTGGATAGTGTTGTATGTTCTTTTTTCATCAGGGCTCCTAACGCCTGACTGAGTTAAAAAAAATAATCAATCCTGTTGTGTAGAATTTTGTTGTTTTAAAAGGACAAAAAAAAAAAAATAATCAAATGATTGATCATGGAACTTATACAAAGTCAAGAATGATTATTTTGGTCACTTCCTTCCTCCAAAATGCTGAATTCTGGAAAGAACATGCCAATGAACACATTAAATGGAATTTTAAAGCTCTGTTCAGTGAACAGGAAAGAAAGATGACGTGAAGTAGCTTCTTATTAGTGTCAACGTAAAGCGGTGCCAACTTTGAACTTGCAATGCTAAGCTTATTCAAATGATTTCACAGAAATATGTTCCAAGCCAGTTGGTTCACACAGCCTTTCAAGGACTGTACATCTCAAAGTGACAAGCAAAGCCTCTTGCATTTTGAATGGCAGAGTCCCTGGAGACCCGGAGTTCAGAGACAAGTGACCTGGCTTGGAATCTAGCCATGGCTGGTGTGCACTTCATCCTCCAAACATCCATTTATTTGTCCTTCCTTTTGGTCATTTAAGCAGCACTGATTGGACACTGAGAGTTTGCTGGGCACTAGAGATACTAGTGAACCTACTACCCCTGCCCTAAAGAGCTCAAGGGTATAATATTAAATCAATGATGAACATAAAGGCAGCAAGAGACAAGATCTGACAGAACTTATTCATTCAGTTACACTGTCTGGAGTACATAATGATGACTAAAGTCTCTGCCCTTAAAGAGCTTGTACAGCAGAAAATCATGGACACCAGTATACAAAATAGAACATAAGACTTATGTAAGAGATAAATAAAATGTCCTTCCAATGTATTTAAATATCTACCATCCATATTACATTCCAGCCTCATCAACCCAACTGTAAAACATGCCAGGTTCTGTCCTCCCTTTTGAAATAAATCCTCCCAATAATATTGTTCCAAATACAAATGAGGAAACAGCATCTGGTAAAGGCTAAGTCGCTTACTTAAGACCTTAGCTGGTAACTGGTAGAGCTAAAGTTCAAACCCACGTCTGCCTTATAAATAAGTGTCAGTACTCTTTACATCAGCGATCCACTGAATCAGAATGGGGTTGGGGGCAAGGGGGTCCAAATCTTCAATAAGTAAACATGCCCACTGGCTCTGATTTGCACTAAAGTATGAGAGCCACTAGGTCTTGCCCCTGGCTTAGCTGCTCCCTACCTCTGTCCTGGACCATTGCAATAGACCCTAGACGTGCGTTTCCCTCCCATGCTCAGCCTCTCCTGTTCATTGCCATTCCCTTGCTCAGAAATCTCCAGTCCCTATGAAAATGTTCCTCTTTAGGCATCGAAGTTCCCACAGTCTATTATCATCTATTCTTCTAGCCTGGGCCTCCTTGCTTTTAGGAATTATTTTCCACAGCCACATTTTGCACTGGGAACACACGTTGGACTTTCTCACATTCCCTTGCTTTGCCATCATCCCTGCTTCAAATACCTTCTTGAATTCATCTCCAGTGAATCAAGAATTCATACCTTCTTGATTGCATCTCCAATCACACTTCTTATTTAATACCCACTTGCACAGTACATGAATGATTTACAGTACACGAATGATTTACTGTTCACCACCAACAGATGCAAAAACTCCTCCCTGTAGTCACCTTTATATTTTAATATTTTATCTTGTAATATATGTTATATAGGTACACCGGGTTTTGCTTTTTACCATCATGGCACGTGGTGGCAGGCCCTTGGAAGACAGGCAGGAGTCCAGATTGGAAATTCTTTCTTATATCTTCCCTTAGCCTCACACCCTTACAGTAGCTTAAGACGGAGAACATAGAAATCCAAAGGAAATAAAAATTCATTTTTGATTGATAAGTACACATAGGTGTTTGCCCTAGACACAGAACAGGGCAAATAAGTTGCGTTGGCCTATAGATTCTAAAATAAGGGGTCAGATTAAAAACTAGACAACAGAGGTTAGACTGTAAAACAGCAGCCTTAATAAAGATGAAAAATACTCTGTCCCCGTCCCTGGTAAAAAGAACAGTGAGTGGATTTTACAATCCCACTAAATGCTATGAAAAATGTTTAAGACATAAGTGACTTGATTGGATAGTGTACCTTAATTACTATTATAAAGGAGAGTTTAAAATGGAGTTAATGTGTGTTTAAATAACACAGCAACTCCAAGGAGAGAACAGAGTGCTGTTTTTTTTCTTTGTTAAAGTAGTATTAAACCCTCAGGTATAAGGAGTCCCAAATGCAGCTTTGATGGAATTTTGTCTTTCTGAGAGCTTGGACTTTGTTGTACAAAACCTGTATTTTTCTTCTCATGTTGTATAGCTGCTATCCACAGCTTAATACAGACACAAAATAATTTTCTCAGATCTGTAAGTGTCTTCTCTTCAAGACAGATACCTAAAATCTTTGCTGATTTTTTAATAGATTTCATTGTACATTATCAGAGAAAAATAAGAGTACTGTGTGTGGCTTACTATGCTTCTGACAAGGTTCTATGGAGAGAATTTTGTCAGGGGAAGGATTTGCGTTCATTCAGCATTAGTTCTTCATAAAGGCCTAACTGCATATTTCCGAATAGTGTGTTTACATTTATTCAGATGTTTCTTGAGAGACCATCAATTTATTGGGACAGGTTATGATCAGTAACTTCCATTAAGTAATAAGGATTTTCAGTTTACCATGTTGTATGGATTTGCATATAATTAAATAATCTTTATATTAACCTTTTCAAAAAATATGACTTCCCACATGGTTCTAGAATAATTAGCTCTTAGATGGTAATCAGTAAGGTCCTGGAATCATACTACATGAAGTGACTAAAGCTGCATCTTTTCTTTTGACAGATAGAGTTAATAAATACCATGTCTAATCATTGACATTAACAAATTCTGGTAATTCACATATCCGCAAAAGAACTATGTGCTTTTCTATGTGAACCGCTATAATCTTTTGGTTGCAAACAGTAATTTGTGCAATGATGTTGTAGCCATTTTGCAGTGTTATTCCATAAATCAATAGTCTTTTTGGTGGACTGAGTTCATGATGTTAAATCAATCCACTTTTAATCAAGGCCTTGTTTAAAGATCTTCACACATTTAAACTATTTTGTTTCCAGGTGGTTTCCTTTATTGAATAAAAGGTTAAGATACAGTTGTATGGACTGGGAAATAGAAAGCTCCAGTTTTATTTCTAAACTTTCGTTGAATGGACCTGAATAAGTCACTTAACCCATGAATGGCCAAGGAAATGACTGTCTTGTGAGAAGAAATTAGGATGCTTTGATATATAATCTTCCCATGCCAGGGTAATACACTATGTTTATGAATCATTGATGTGTTATTCTATTATCTGTGCATGTATTTGCCCTATATTTTTCAAGAGCCTTTAAATAGCCATTTGTTTCAACTTTTAGCATTGGGAAGCAGGAACCAAAAGGCAAAAAATGCTTTTGTAAAGTTTTAGTTATTTATTTGAAAAGCTGTATCCCCTTTCCACCTCTTCCAATGCAGGTATTGTGATGGGTGACATCTGTGAGCTCTGATGGTTATAGTAAATATGTAGAAAGTTCTCTCCATCAAAATTACCTTAGTGCAGTTGGAGACCATCAGAGCTCAGACTTAGGCTCTGAGCAAACTGGAGTCAAGCTCTGCTATTGCCTGTATTATCCGTGTTCTACTATCATTAGAAATGTGAATTCTCAAGTAAGCAGATTATTTTGTGTGCCACTTTAAAGGGGAGAAAAACTCAAATAATTCATAGGGAGAGAACATAGGCTTACATTAAGGATGTAGTCTAAGGTACTACAAATGATCTGAAATCAGAACAGATTCAAATACCCTACACCAGCATGTCTCTTACCACTTACATCTGAATCAAGGGGTGTGCTCATTAAAATGCATTTACCTGGGCCCTACCCCATCCTTTTTCTAAATTAGAAAGAGGTCTAATTGAAAATGGGGTCTAGTAAAGAACAGTTTTTTGTTTGTTTGTTTGTTTGTTTTGAGACAGAGTCTCACTCTGTTGCCCGTGCTAGAATGCCATGGCATCAGCCTAGCTCACAGCAACCTCAAACTCTTGGGCTCAAGCAATCCTCCTGCCTCAGCCTCCCGGGTAGCCGGGACTACAGGCGCGTGCCACCGTGCCTGGCTAATTTTTTCTATATATATTAATTGGTCGGCCAATTTCTTTCTATTTATAGTAGAGACAGGATCTTGCTCTTGCTCAGGCTGGTCTCGAACTCCTGAGCTCAAGCAATCCTCCCACCTTGGCCTCCCAGAGTGCTAGGATTACAGGCGTGAGCCACTGTGCCCAGCCCGTAAAGGACAGTTTTTAACAAGCCTTCCAAGTGACTCAAATGCCCATCAGCATTTGTGAACCATCCCCTGACTTTTTGTATCTTCAGTCCTGACTCATTCATTCATTGATTCAACTATATTTATTGAGCTCTTTTTCATTGCACAGTACTGCACAGAATAAAATACAGCCTCTGTTTTAAGTGTTTAACTGGCTAGTCATGGTAACAAGATGTATCCTCAATATTTATTAATACACAACCACAAGGTATTTGGATTCAAGGTCAAAGTAGCATAAATAGTCTTAACATGTAACATCCTGAACAAGGAGACATCATTCTGTTTTGGTTGGAGCAATAATCTCTCTTGGAAATTACTTTATTTGCTTACTAAAATAGTTCTGCAAGGTAGGTAGAATATTATTTAACAGAAGAGAAAATTGAGTCTCAGAGCTGTCAGGATTCAAGATTCAGTTATATGACCAGTTAGCAGTAAATCAGATTTAGTTTTCAGATTTTCTAATTCCTAGCCCAAT